CTACAATGGGGTTTTTGGGAAGCCACCAGGTCTAGTAATAACATAACATATGTGGTTCTGCACTAATGCAAGAATTTAAAAAAATCATACATTTTGAATATTAAAGCTTCACGGAAGATAGGATTTAGTTTGTTTTTTTTTAACATCCCTTTGTATATTTGAAATAAGTTATTGTATCTTTTGACACCTTAATATTTTTTAAAAATACAATTGTACATACATAAAATATTTATAAAAAAATCTACTTACTGAGATATTACACTTGACGGTGGATAGGTTTTTACATAGCAAATTAATGAACTTAAACTTTTAAATTATAAAACAGCAACACTCTCATCTGCATATAAATTCTAACTGACCTTCAGGAATCACATGCATCTATAATGTCGTAAACAGAGGTTTTTTGCTTAATAAGAATGATTAAAGCGCCATCCGTTGCATAAAATTTAAAGCAAAAACAGATTCACGCAGGATAGAATCAATTTTCGTAACACCTACATAAATGGTTATAAAAATTATTTTTTTTAATTTTTAATAATATTTTATATTTGATTCGATTGCTTTGAATGTGTTTAATTTACTTAGTGAACTGATATTTTTAGTTTGATTTTACTACCTCAGATATTTGAAAACATATAGGTTAACCTAGAAAGAGTAACAGTCACGGAGGATAGGTTTTAGACTTAAAACATTGTAAAAAATAATTTATTGCGGTTAAAACTTGAACTTGGGCTGTAATATCAAAACACAATAAAAGTGTAGGTCAAACTAATTTAGTTTTATTAAATATCACCATTTCGTGATATTCACCCAAATATATAATATATCGATAACTTATAAATGATTTTCTAAAAAATAATATTATTAATAAAAAAATGATGTTTTTTTTTGCAAAAATTAAAAAAAAATTGCGTTTCCTCATAATGTTGGTTATTATGATACGCGTTTGGGGAAAATAGTTTTTTACTGAAAAATATTTAGCGCTGTGATTTATGTGGTTGTATCGGCAATTCTAAGCCCGGAAAATCGCTTTTGTGTTATTATGATTTACGGGCGATTTCAAGTCAATACGCCAATTTTTGCCATGGCACCTCCATTCACGTCTATATTGGTTAATATGCTTTCAGAGTATCTAGACTGTTGCTTTTATTTTTTATCAATTTTAATACAGATTTTTTCATGAAGTTAATTAGACTGGCAATATTTTATTTTAATTTTAAACCGGATTAATAATGAATTGTACAAATATTTATTAACAATTAAAATATTGGAAATATAAAATAAACTTTTGTTATTAAAATCGCTGAAATTAAATTAAATGAAAAAAAAAAAGATAAATTTGTGCATTGTTTAATAAAATAAAACAATGGGATATAATAAAGCATGCAGATTTTTGCGTTGGCCTTAAAATTGATATTTTACAACGTGCATTGAATCGTAATTAAATTTAAATGTTTATTGTTTTTTCATCCGGCAAACATAGTAGAGCTCCACAATAAAACACGGCAGCGGAACAAAACGATTTTATTGTCAAATTATCCAAAAAACATAAAACAATAGCCGTGCACCGGCAAACAAAACAAAATCTAATATAAAACGCACAATGGACTAATAAAACACGATTCGATACAAAAACGCTATTATAAACATGACAATGTATCGAGCGGGCCGCTCCGTAATGCAGTTAAATATATTAATAATTGCAAACAATAAAAGTGGATTATTCGCATGGCCGGCCAATGCAATATTTCAACGTGCTGCCGCCATAGCCGCCTCCCCGCCACCAGCAAGCTAAAATGCAAAACGAGCGCAGCACAGTGCTTGGGCAGGATTTTTTGCTGTTAACTTGTAAACGGTTGACTTTACAGAAAAACAGAAAAATGCATTTTTGTAGGGAATTTAATATTCTACAAAAAAAGTCATATGAGTCGAACTCCTAAAATTATTATTTTAGGAGATACAGGGTTCACCATTTAAGTTGTCATCATTAAAAAACAGTAGATCAACTGTACGAGGTGTGTTCAGAAAATAACGGGAATTGTTTAATTTCGCGGGTTCGGAGGGTCCGGTTGTCATAAAATTTTCTTTATTATGTTGGTATACATGCGCCCCCGAAGTATGCTAAAAACTTTAGCTGTTTTCATTGTTTACTTTGTCAGCCGCTAAGGTTAGACGTGTTTTATGAGCTCGGCGGTTTTTCGTTCGTTAAAAGAAATGGATCAAAGAATTTGTTTCCAATTTTGCTTAAAAAATGAAACAAATTCTGTGAAATGTTAACAAAGGCCTATAGTGAGTCTGCTATAAGTAAAGCAAGAGTTTACAAGTGGTATAAGAGTTTCCAAGATGGCCGTAAAGACGTTGAAGATGACGAACGCCCCGAACGCACAAGCACATTAACAACCGATAAAAACATGGAAAAAGTGGAAGAAATGGTTATAAACCATCAGAGAAGTCGCTGATGATGTTGGTATATCGATTGGCTCATCCCATGAAATTTTTTCGAATGTTTTGGGTATGAAACGCGTGGCAGCAAAATTTGTTCTAAAATTGTTAAATTTTGAACAAAATTTTTGGCCAAAAACAATACTGTAATGATGCCCCAGCCTCCATATTCGCCAGACATGCCTCTGTCTGACTTTTTCCTATTCCCAAAAATAAAGAGAACCTTAAAGGGCCGTCGTTTTGCAAGCATAGATGACATTAAAAGCGCATCGCTGAAAGAACTAAAGGCTATCCCAAAGATCGAGTTTTAGAAGTGTTTCGAGTATTGGAAGAAGAGCTGGCACATGTGCATAATATCCAATGGGGACTATTTTGAAGGCGACAACATTAATGTAGACGAATAAATAAATATTTGTTTCAAAAAACGAAATTTCCCGATATTTTCTGAACACACCTCGTATATCAACTTAGTCATTAAAATGTTAAATTGAAATCACTGTGCGCCAAAACGTAGGCTTCGAGCTCGGCTTTATTCAACTAATTGCCGCTTTACCACTGCCTTTTCATCTATTCATTTTCAACCATAATTTTATTCACCTTTCATTCCTTTATTTATTTATCTCTTTAACATTTTATAGTACATTTTCGTTAATTTATATTTATTGGACAAAAGTAAAAGTTTTTAACGCATTAACCTTTGTTAATAATTTGTTACTGAACAACAGGTAATTGATTACATTAAAATCCCTTAACATAACCAAAGAATTTTTTTTTTAAATTTTTGAGAGGCAATATGGACAATATGAACAATGTGGACAGTGTGGAAAACCAACCCTCTGTCCTAATATATATATATATATATATATATATATATATATATATATAAACTTAATATAAACTGACACTAACAACATAAAATAAACATAACAAAACATAAACTACAAACTGAAAAATAAAATTCGTACAGCTAATTCTAATAATATTGAGATAAAATTCAACATAAAGGCGTCTCCACTTATAATAGTACAAATGTCGATATCGACATTATCGATTAAATATGTATTCAGCGACCAACACAAAAATTTTGTAAGGATTAAGTTAATATAAACTGAAAACAGAGTAAATAGTAAGCTGATCAATACTGTAGCACAGTAGGAATATAGAAACACTTTTTATCCTCATTTGATCACCAGGTCATAATTATTGATTTATTTCAGTCCCTGAACAATTTTGCAAATACCTACCTACCTATTCGGAAAAATAATATTCAATAATTACTCACCAGAAATGTGGTACTAACCTCACAATGATACACTTCCTAACACTAACTAAAACTGCAAAATGATTATGCAGATTGCAGTTGAGCGACCGGCCGGCGTCTTATTTCAATCGGGAAATCATTTCATTGGTTAATATTATAAAATTTATATTCTAACTCCAATATTTTTAAAAGCAGATATCAACTCTTTTCCTGACAATATTGTGCAAATGTTTAAATACAGCCCGTTCAGAGTAAAACCGAATATAGGAAAACGTTTTGGGCGTGGCCTCGCCTCCCTCCAACGCGCGTCACAGTAGCTTGTGTGATAAACGACATGACGAAAGGTCGACCTTAAAAATTAAATGATAATAATGCAAAAAATCTCATTAGCGATACAGGCTATTTGCTTAGCTACTGTGTCGCGCGTTGGAGGGAGGCGAGGCCACGACCTATACGTTTCCCTATATTCGGTTTTACTCTAAACGGGCTGTATAAAATCTTACTGTTTCCAACAAATTATAGAAAATTGACTTAAACAAACTAATTACAAAAACCAATCCAACTATCTTGGATAACGTAGCACATTTATAGAAAATTATGCTCCAATGGCATGTTGCACAAATGTGTGCTATGTTTTTTAAACGGATTTTTCTCTTTGGAGGGTTGCTATGATTTGTCCATATTTGTTTTAACATAATAATACAACGGCCATTATATTTAAATTTACCGCGTTCTCCTGTGTAAACCGGTCTCGTTTTGCAGCGACATCTACTACATTCTTAAATGGAATTGACTATTTTAAAAATGCAAATTTTACAAAATTGACATGCCCAATAGCTTCAATACCCACAACAACAACAACAACAAACGTCATTAGCTCACAAAAGACTTGTCGGCGATTGTGTGCCGCTCCACGACAATAAGGGCGCGCCAGGCACCGCCGATTGTCAACTTTTGTTTGGCGGACAGATAGCGGCGGCGGCGGCGGCGCGCAGATTTAATTTGTACAAACATAAATTTAACAATCAAGTAAACAATGGCCGGTTTATCGCGATGTTCAGATTTTGACTTTATGGCGGCCGTTAGGTGGAAATCGGCGCTAATAAACGAAAATATATGGGAAGCGTTATTTGAAGCCATTGTTGTGCGACTATTATAGTTATATCTGTATTCTGCAGATTTAATGGCGCGGTTGCCGCTACTGATGATTGCTTTGTCGGTTTTTTCAGAAATGTAAAAAATGTTAATTATATTTAAACAAACAATTTTTTCTTAATGTTTGTGTCTTTTGTTACAGATTCTGCGTGGGCGATAGGTTTTATTTGTGCGAAAATAAAATTCTATGCGAGTACGACTACGAGGAAAGATTAGTTTTTGCAAATATGGCTTACAACCCCCCTCCACTATCACATTTAAAAAGACAAACGTCCATTCCACCGGTAAGAAAATAATGTCGTTTTTGTATAATTAATTTAACAATTACCAAATAAATAAGTTAAATATTTGATTATGGTTTGGTTTAGAGCATGTTATACACGCCCCAAATGTATTTTTAGGGCTTTTAATTATATATTTGCACCACAATTAGCTAATCGATTTAATTTAACAGTTAATGGCATTCAATGATTAGGTAAACAGATGTTGACAAACAAACGTTTATGTCATTATAATTTAATTACGCATTATTTCAAATTTGAATGTTTCAAATGTGTGATTTTTAATTTTCAAAATTACTACTTCTTCATCTGGAATTGACTAGTTCAGTTCTCACTTTAATCCTCTTCAAAACTTCTTTTATCAACTACTATAATCGACAAAACTACTTCTACATTTTGCTACTACATCTGGAATTGACAAGTTCAGTTCTTACTTTAATCCTCTTCAAAACTTTTGTTATCAACTACTATAGTCGACAAAACTACTTCTTCATTTTGCTACTACATCTGGAATTGACAAGTTCAGTTCTTACTTTAATCCTCTTCAAAGCTTCTTTCAACTACTATAACCGACAAAACTACTTCTACATTTTCCTTTTTCAAAATTTTTGTTATCAACTACTATAGTCGACAAAACAACTTCTACATTTTGCTTTTTTAAAAATTCTTTTATCAACTACTATAATCGACAAAACTACTTCCACATTTTTCTTTTTCAAAACTACTTTTATCAACTACTATAGTCGACAAAACTACTTCTACATTTTGCTACTACATCTGGAATTGACAAGTTCAGTTCTTACTTTAATCCTCTTCAAATCTTCTTTCGACCACTATAATCGACAAAACTACTTTTACATTTTGCTTTTTCAAAACTTCTTTTATCAACTACTATAATCGATACAACTACTTCTAAATTTTGCTTTTTCAAAACTTCTTTTATTAACTACTATAATCGACAAACCTACTTATACATTTTCGCTACTACATCTGGAATTAGCAAGTTCAGTTTTTACTTTACTACTAATCCTCTTCAAAACTTTTTTTATCAACTACTATAATCGACAAAACTATTTCTACACTTTGCTTTTTTAAACCTTCTTTTATCAACTACTATAATAGACAAAACTACTTCTACATTTTGCTACTACATCTAAAATTGACAAGTTCAGTTGTTACTTTAATCCTCTTCAAAACTTTTGTTATCAACTACTATAGTAGGCAAAACTACTTTCACATTTTGCTTTTTCAAAACTTATTTTATCAACTACTATAGTCGACAAAACTACTTCTACATTTTACATCTGGAATTGACAAGTCCAGTTCTTACTTTAATCCTCTTTAAAACTTTTGTTATCAACTACTATAGTCGACAAAACTACTTCTACATTTTGCTTTTTCAAAACTTCTTTTATCAACTACTATAATCTACAAAACTAATTCTACATTTTTTTACTACATCTGAAATGAACTTCAAAACTTCTTTTATCAACTACTATAATCGACAAAACTACTTCTACATTTTGCTACTACATCTGGAATTGACAAGTTCAGTTCTTACTTTAATCCTCTTCAAAACTTTTGTTATCAACTACTATACTCGACAAAACCACTTCTACATTTTGCTTTTTCAAAACTTCTTTTATCAGCGAACTATAATCGACAAAACTACTTCTACATTTTGCTACTAAATCTGGAATTGACAAGTTCAGTTCTTACTTTAATCCTCTTCAAAGCTTCTTTTATCAACTACTATAATCGACAAAACTACCTCTACATTTTGCTTTTTTCAAAATTCTTTTATTAACTACTATAATCGACAAAACTACTTCTACATTTCGCTTTTTCAAAACTTATTTTATCAACTACTATAATCGACAAAACTACTTCTACATTTTGCTACTAAATCTGGAATTGACAAGTTCAGTTCTTACTTTAATCCTCTTCAAAGCTTCTTTTATCAACTACTATAATCGACAAAACTACTTCTACATTTTGCTTTTTCAAAACTTCTTTTATCAGCTACTATAATCGACAAAACTACTTCTACATTTTGCTACTAAATCTGGAATTGACAAGTTCAGTTCTTACTTTAATCCTCTTCAAAGCTTCTTTTATCAACTACTATAATCGACAAAACTACCTCTACATTTTGCTTTTTTCAAAATTCTTTTATCAACTACTATAATCGACAAAACTACTTCTACATTTCGCTTTTTCAAAACTTATTTTATCAACTACTATAATCGACAAAACTACTTCTACATTTTGCTACTAAATCTGGAATTGACAAGTTCAGTTCTTACTTTAATCCTCTTCAAAGCTTCTTTTATCAACTACTATAATCGACAAAACTACTTCTACATTTTGCTACTAAATCTGGAATTGACAAGTTCAGTTCTTACTTTAATCCTCTTCAAAGCTTCTTTTTTCAACTACTATAATCGACCAAACTACTTCTACATTTTGTTTTTTAAAACTTCTTTTATCAACTACTATAATCGACAAAACTACCTCTACATTTTGCTTTTTTTAAATTCTTTTATCAACTACTATAATCGACAAAACTACTTCTACATTTTGCTTTTTCAAAACTTCTTTTATCAGCTACTATAATCGACAAAACTACTTCTACATTTTGCTACTAAATCTGGAATTGACAAGTTCAGTTCTTACTTTAATCCTCTTCAAAGCTTCTTTTATCAACTACTATAATCGACCAAACTACTTCTACATTTTGTTTTTTTAAAACTTCTTTTATCAACTACTATAATCGACAAAACTACCTCTACATTTTGCTTTTTTTTTAATTCTTTTATCAACTACTATAATCGACAAAACTACTTCTACATTTTGCTTTTTCAAAACTTCTTTTATCAACTACTATAATCGACAAAAGTACTTCTACATTTTGCTACTAAATCTGGAATTGACAAGTTCAGTTCTTACTTTAATCCTCTTCAAAGCTTCTTTTATCAACTACTATAATCGACAAAACTACTTCTACATTTTGCTACTACATCTGGAATTGACAAGTTCAGTTCTTACTTTAATCCTCTTCAAAGCTTCTTTTATCAACTACTATAATCGACCAAACTACTTCTACATTTTGTTTTTTAAAACTTCTTTTATCAACTACTATAATCGACAAAACTACTTCTACATTTTGCTTTTTCAAAAATTCTTTTAACAACTACTATAATCGACCAAACTACTTCTACATTTTGTTTTTTTAAAGCTTCTTTTATCAACTACTATAATCGACAAAACTACCTCTACATTTTGCTTTTTTTTAAATTCTTTTATCAACTACTATAATCGACAAAACTACTTCTACATTTTGCTTTTTCAAAACTTCTTTTATCAGCTACTATAATCGACAAAACTACTTCTACATTTTGCTACTAAATCTGGAATTGACAAGTTCAGTTCTTACTTTAATCCTCTTCAAAGCTTCTTTTATCAACTACTATAATCGACCAAACTACTTCTACATTTTGTTTTTTTAAAACTTCTTTTATCAACTACTATAATCGACAAAACTACCTCTACATTTTGCTTTTTTTAAATTCTTTTATCAACTACTATAATCGACAAAACTACTTCTACATTTTGCTTTTTCAAAACTTCTTTTATCAACTACTATAACCGACAAAAGTACTTCTACATTTTGCTACTAAATCTGGAATTGACAAGTTCAGTTCTTACTTTAATCCTCTTCAAAGCTTCTTTTATCAACTACTATAATCGACCAAACTACTTCTACATTTTGTTTTTTTAAAACTTCTTTTATCAACTACTATAATCGACAAAACTACCTCTACATTTTGCTTTTTTTAAATTCTTTTATCAACTACTATAATCGACAAAACTACTTCTACATTTTGCTTTTTCAAAACTTCTTTTATCAACTACTATAATCGACAAAAGTACTTCTACATTTTGCTACTAAATCTGGAATTGACAAGTTCAGTTCTTACTTTAATCCTCTTCAAAGCTTCTTTTATCAACTTCTATAATCGACCAAACTACTTCTACATTTTGTTTTTTAAAACTTCTTTTATCAACTACTATAATCGACAAAACTACTTCTACATTTTGCTACTACATCTGGAATTGACAAGTTCAGTTCTTACTTTAATCCTCTTCAAAGCTTCTTTTATCAACTACTATAATCGACCAAACTACTTCTACATTTTGTTTTTTTAAAACTTCTTTTATCAACTACTATAATCGACAAAACTACCTCTACATTTTGCTTTTTTTAAATTCTTTTATCAACTACTATAATCGACAAAACTACTTCTACATTTTGCTTTTTCAAAACTTCTTTTATCAACTACTATAATCGACAAAAGTACTTCTACATTTTGCTACTAAATCTGGAATTGACAAGTTCAGTTCTTACTTTAATCCTCTTCAAAGCTTCTTTTATCAACTACTATAATCGACCAAACTACTTCTACATTTTGTTTTTTTAAAACTTCTTTTATCAACTACTATAATCGACAAAACTACCTCTACATTTTGCTTTTTTTAAATTCTTTTATCAACTACTATAATCGACAAAACTACTTCTACATTTTGCTTTTTCAAAACTTCTTTTATCAACTACTATAATCGACAAAAGTACTTCTACATTTTGCTACTAAATCTGGAATTGACAAGTTCAGTTCTTACTTTAATCCTCTTCAAAGCTTCTTTTATCAACTACTATAATCGACCAAACTACTTCTACATTTTGTTTTTTTAAAACTTCTTTTATCAACTACTATAATCGACAAAACTACTTCTACATTTTGCTACTAAATCTGGAATTGACAAGTTCAGTTCTTACTTTAATCCTCTTCAAAGCTTCTTTTATCAACTACTATAATCGACCAAACTACTTCTACATTTTGTTTTTTAAAACTTCTTTTATCAACTACTATAATCGACAAAACTACTTCTACATTTTGCTACTACATCTGGAATTGACAAGTTCAGTTCTTACTTTAATCCTCTTTAAAACTTTTGTTATCAACTACTATACTCGACAAAACCACTTCTACATTTTGCTTTTTCAAAACTTCTTTTATCAGCGAACTATAATCGACAAAACTACTTCTACATTTTGCTACTAAATCTGGAATTGACAAGTTCAGTTCTTACTTTAATCCTCTTCAAAGCTTCTTTTATCAACTACTATAATCGACAAAACTACCTCTACATTTTGCTTTTTTCAAAATTCTTTTATTAACTACTATAATCGACAAAACTACTTCTACATTTCGCTTTTTCAAAACTTATTTTATCAACTACTATAATCGACAAAACTACTTCTACATTTTGCTACTAAATCTGGAATTGACAAGTTCAGTTCTTACTTTAATCCTCTTCAAAGCTTCTTTTATCAACTACTATAATCGACAAAACTACTTCTACATTTTGCTTTTTCAAAACTTCTTTTATCAGCTACTATAATCGACAAAACTACTTCTACATTTTGCTACTAAATCTGGAATTGACAAGTTCAGTTCTTACTTTAATCCTCTTCAAAGCTTCTTTTTTCAACTACTATAATCGACCAAACTACTTCTACATTTTGTTTTTTAAAACTTCTTTTATCAACTACTATAATCGACCAAACTACTTCTACATTTTGCTTTTTCAAAACTTCTTTTATCAGCGAACTATAATCGACAAAACTACTTCTACATTTTGCTACTAAATCTGGAATTGACAAGTTCAGTTCTTACTTTAATCCTCTTCAAAGCTTCTTTTATCAACTACTATAATCGACAAAACTACTTCTACATTTTGCTTTTTCAAAACTTCTTTTATCAGCTACTATAATCGACAAAACTACTTCTACATTTTGCTACTAAATCTGGAATTGACAAGTTCAGTTCTTACTTTAATCCTCTTCAAAGCTTCTTTTTTCAACTACTATAATCGACCAAACTACTTCTACATTTTGTTTTTTAAAACTTCTTTTATCAACTACTATAATCGACAAAACTACTTCTACATTTTGCTTTTTCAAAACTTCTTTTATCAGCTACTATAATCGACAAAACTACTTCTACATTTTGCTACTAAATCTGGAATTGACAAGTTCAGTTCTTACTTTAATCCTCTTCAAAGCTTCTTTTTTCAACTACTATAATCGACAAAACTACTTCTACATTTCGCTTTTTCAAAACTTATTTTATCAACTACTATAATCGACAAAACTACTTCTACATTTTGCTACTAAATCTGGAATTGACAAGTTCAGTTCTTACTTTAATCCTCTTCAAAGCTTCTTTTATCAACTACTATAATCGACAAAACTACCTCTACATTTTGCTTTTTTCAAAATTCTTTTATCAACTACTATAATCGACAAAACTACTTCTACATTTCGCTTTTTCAAAACTTATTTTATCAACTACTATAATCGACAAAACTACTTCTACATTTTGCTACTAAATCTGGAATTGACAAGTTCAGTTCTTACTTTAATCCTCTTCAAAGCTTCTTTTATCAACTACTATAATCGACAAAACTACTTCTACATTTTGCTACTAAATCTGGAATTGACAAGTTCAGTTCTTACTTTAATCCTCTTCAAAGCTTCTTTTTTCAACTACTATAATCGACCAAACTACTTCTACATTTTGTTTTTTAAAACTTCTTTTATCAACTACTATAATCGACAAAACTACCTCTACATTTTGCTTTTTTTAAATTCTTTTATCAACTACTATAATCGACAAAACTACTTCTACATTTTGCTTTTTCAAAACTTCTTTTATCAGCTACTATAATCGACAAAACTACTTCTACATTTTGCTACTAAATCTGGAATTGACAAGTTCAGTTCTTACTTTAATCCTCTTCAAAGCTTCTTTTATCAACTACTATAATCGACCAAACTACTTCTACATTTTGTTTTTTTAAAACTTCTTTTATCAACTACTATAATCGACAAAACTACCTCTACATTTTGCTTTTTTTTAAATTCTTTTATCAACTACTATAATCGACAAAACTACTTCTACATTTTGCTTTTTCAAAACTTCTTTTATCAACTACTATAATCGACAAAAGTACTTCTACATTTTGCTACTAAATCTGGAATTGACAAGTTCAGTTCTTACTTTAATCCTCTTCAAAGCTTCTTTTATCAACTACTATAATCGACAAAACTACTTCTACATTTTGCTACTACATCTGGAATTGACAAGTTCAGTTCTTACTTTAATCCTCTTCAAAGCTTCTTTTATCAACTACTATAATCGACCAAACTACTTCTACATTTTGTTTTTTAAAACTTCTTTTATCAACTACTATAATCGACAAAACTACTTCTACATTTTGCTTTTTCAAAAATTCTTTTAACAACTACTATAATCGACCAAACTACTTCTACATTTTGTTTTTTTAAAGCTTCTTTTATCAACTACTATAATCGACAAAACTACCTCTACATTTTGCTTTTTTTTAAATTCTTTTATCAACTACTATAATCGACAAAACTACTTCTACATTTTGCTTTTTCAAAACTTCTTTTATCAGCTACTATAATCGACAAAACTACTTCTACATTTTGCTACTAAATCTGGAATTGACAAGTTCAGTTCTTACTTTAATCCTCTTCAAAGCTTCTTTTATCAACTACTATAATCGACCAAACTACTTCTACATTTTGTTTTTTTAAAACTTCTTTTATCAACTACTATAATCGACAAAACTACCTCTACATTTTGCTTTTTTTTAAATTCTTTTATCAACTACTATAATCGACAAAACTACTTCTACATTTTGCTTTTTCAAAACTTCTTTTATCAGCTACTATAATCGACAAAACTACTTCTACATTTTGCTACTAAATCTGGAATTGACAAGTTCAGTTCTTACTTTAATCCTCTTCAAAGCTTCTTTTATCAACTACTATAATCGACCAAACTACTTCTACATTTTGTTTTTTTAAAACTTCTTTTATCAACTACTATAATCGACAAAACTACCTCTACATTTTGCTTTTTTTTAAATTCTTTTATCAACTACTATAATCGACAAAACTACTTCTACATTTTGCTTTTTCAAAACTTCTTTTATCAGCTACTATAATCGACAAAACTACTTCTACATTTTGCTACTAAATCTGGAATTGACAAGTTCAGTTCTTACTTTAATCCTCTTCAAAGCTTCTTTTATCAACTACTATAATCGACCAAACTACTTCTACATTTTGTTTTTTTAAAACTTCTTTTATCAACTACTATAATCGACAAAACTACCTCTACATTTTGCTTTTTTTTAAATTCTTTTATCAACTACTATAATCGACAAAACTACTTCTACATTTTGCTTTTTCAAAACTTCTTTTATCAGCTACTATAATCGACAAAACTACTTCTACATTTTGCTACTAAATCTGGAATTGACAAGTTCAGTTCTTACTTTAATCCTCTTCAAAGCTTCTTTTATCAACTACTATAATCGACCAAACTACTTCTACATTTTGTTTTTTTAAAACTTCTTTTATCAACTACTATAATCGACAAAACTACCTCTACATTTTGCTTTTTTTAAATTCTTTTATCAACTACTATAATCGACAAAACTACTTCTACATTTTGCTTTTTCAAAACTTCTTTTATCAACTACTATAATCGACAAAAGTACTTCTACATTTTGCTACTAAATCTGGAATTGACAAGTTCAGTTCTTACTTTAATCCTCTTCAAAGCTTCTTTTATCAACTTCTATAATCGACCAAACTACTTCTACATTTTGTTTTTTTTAAAACTTCTTTTATCAACTACTATAATCGACAAAACTACTTCTACATTTTGCTTTTTTTAAAATTCTTTTATCAACTACTATAATCGACAAAACTACTTCTACATTTTGCTTTTCCAAAAATTCTTTTAACAACTACTATAATCGACAAAACTACTTTTACATTTTGCTTTTTCAAAACTTCTTTTATCAACTAAGTACTTTAATCGAAAACTACTTCCTCATTTTGCTACTACATTTGATATTGACCAGTTCAGTCTTACTTTTCAGGTCTTACTTTTTAATCGTCTTCAAAACTGATTAAAATAGTCGAAATTAAGACACTGTAATCTTTTTTGCAGACGTCAATGCCGAGTCATCTGATGAACGGGCATCGGCCGCCAGGTCTGCCAACCAACGGCGACATGAACAACAACATGTCGGGATCAGGACAACAACCGCCCAACTCCATGGCGAGTCCTTCCTCCTTTCAGCCCTCGCACATGAAAAATAGCCCAATGTCGTTGGGCGCGACCAGCTGAAAGCGATTTTAAAACTGTGATGGCTTGAAGACTTGAATGTTTTAGATTTTAACCTATGCGGGTTTGTACATATATAAGACGGTTTTTTAAATGCTCAAATTTAAGTGTATACCATGACTAAGGAGTTAGTGCAATATATTTTGGTTTGTGACAAAATTTCCTTTAAACAATGATCTCTTGTTTGATTTGTATTATATTTGTTATAAAATAATACTCAAAATGTATTTTTGCAAAATACATTCCAACTTATGGTAAGAGTTCTAGTCACGAGAGCTTTTCAACGTTTTGTCACTTCAGCTCCAAATGTAGACCCTGTAAAACCATTGTTAGCATACAAAATTATTTAACTCTATAATGTAAAATATTAGTTGTTTTCAAATAAATGTTATTATTAAATAAGATTAACGTTGCCATTTAAATTGTTTTAGTTTTTTTTTAATTATATTATTATTACTAAGAATAAGTTTTTCTTTGATTGTACATAGTTGTAAATATTCAAGTATTGTTTTCTGTATTAAACGAAAAAGAAATTAAAATAGGTGCCAAGTTTAGACTCTTTTGTGTACAGTACAAACATAATGTAAATGTATGCGCATATTAATACCAATGATTTGACCAAAGAAATAAATAGATTTCCTTGAAAAAACGTTTTTAATTTAATTCAACCCGATTTTTCCATCCTTACAATGTTTTAAACAAAATAGCAAAAAATGGGTAAGTACAAATTTTTAATACTACTTAAAACATTTAATATATTTTTGATGGATAGATAAAAAACCTTCTACAATAAATAACAATTATATTATTATTCTAATATAATTGTTAAAATTTTATAAATCCTAAATAAAAAGACAAGAATTTGACACATATTTTTAAGAATACATGAAGCATTTAATACATATATATATATTTTTTTTTTCTACTCCCACCTTTAAAACGCCCTTTATCGTACATGTTTCCATGACACTAAGTGACCTTTTAAATACACATTGACAAGTTGTGGCTTTATGGCGCTTTAGTCAAGGGCTGAAGTTAGCAACAGGTTTTTAGTCGAAGTTGGTTTTAAGTTAGTTGACAGTTGTCAAATGTCATACAATGGTTAAAATAAATTGCCTTTCTTGTAAAATAATACTAAATGTGAAAATTACTTTATTATCTCAATACAAATCTAAATAGTTTTTCAACGCCAATATTTGAAAATTTTATATGAACATTGTACTGACCTTTTAATTTCGCCGGCAGTAAACTATAACTTAAATTCGGACTGATTCCACTGTAAAGTGCTCATAAAACATTTTCTTTACTTTCACTGTGAAAAACTGTCAATTTTCAAGAAATACATTTCGATTTATAACCTTTATAATTGTGTTTATAAAGTAAAAAAAATTGACATTTGACGGTGACACACAGATTCCCGTATTGTTTCATAGATGGCGCTCTATACAAATTTTTGATTTAAATCATTTTAAGATAATAATAAGTATTTGTCGTAGAAAAAATATAGTATGCACCTCATTTATAAACTTTTCTATACACTCATTAATTTAATTAATTAAATTCGTGTATAAAATGGCGTTTATCAAACTTAATACATAATATACTATTTAAATTAAAATAATATGGGTAACACAATAAGTAACAATTGTATTATTATTGAAATATAATTATTAAAATTTTAAAAATTCTAAATAAAAAGACAAGATTTTGACATAATAAAGGATTTAAGCCAGTGTAAGCTCTAATTACCTGAAAAATTACTACTTCTATAAAAAATCTATTAATATTTTTTTTCTACTTCCATCTTTAAAACGCCCATTATCGTATATGTTTCCATGACACTGAGTGACCTTTTAAATACACATTGACAAGTTGAGGCTTTATGGCATTTTAGTCACGGGCTGAAGTTAACAATAGGTTTTTAGTCACTAAAGTTAGTTGACAGTTGTCGTACAATCGTTAAAATAATTGCCTTTCTTCAAGAAAGTTTCTTGTAAAATTATACTAAATATAAAAAAATAATTTTAATCATTTTTAGATAATAATAAGTATTGGTCGTAGAAATATAGTTTGCAACTCGTTTACTCGTCTACTTTTATAAACACTCATTTAATTAAACACTCGTTCGTGCCTAATTAAAAACCTTGACTTAAATGACGTTTATCAAAATAGTAATAATAATTTAAAAAATACCAAAAATGGAAGTTCCGAAGATATTTTTTTACTGACAAAAGAGTTTAAAACATCAGAGCTTCATAAAAAATCAAAATATTCAACAATATAAATTGGATTTAGATACAGCCACCCAAAAAGTATACGATTGTTTATCTAGTCTAAACAATACCTTTTTATTTATGGCTCTATACCAAATTGTACGAAAATCCGTTAAATACTTTCAAAAATGGTGGATGCGCCGGGGTAAATTATAATTATACTTAATAAATTTGAATGTTTACGAACAAACTTGCACACAGGCAGGGCCGAGCCGTGCCGGGGGTGCAAGGGGTGCATGGCACCCGAGCGGCACTAACACAGGGCGGCAAAATATCATCAAAAAAATTGTATCATATAATCAAGAATAAAAAAGCCACCTTGCAATATGCAAAAAACTTTCTAAAAATCACTTGCGTTTTATTGATGTCACCAAAATAATGCAAAAATCTACCGTTGTTTTGCCAGAAGCTGTGCGAATGTTAAAAGAAATTAAAATATTTTTAACCAACCTTAGATCTGAAAATGGTTTTACCGAAATGCTTAATGAAGCCACAAAAATTGCGGAAGAAATAGACTTCGAAATTTGTTTTCCAGCTGTTGAGTTAGTTAGACCAAGAAAAAAAAGGTATTTTTTTATTATGAACACAAAGATGAGCCTATCCAATCTCCAGACCAAAATTTCAAATTTAATTTTTATTTTTACATTCTCAATATTGCAATTTTAAAACTAGACGAAAGGTTCCAAGATTTCAATAAATATAACAAAACGTTTGGTTTTTTAAATAATTTAAGTGCGTTTAATAAAGATGAAATAATGCAATATTGTAAAAAATTGGAAACTGAATTAACTGACCTGGCAACAAAAAATATGGATATAAATGCAATTGACCTTTACAATGAGATTGATACTTTGTCAATATATATTCTTAATACAGATAATATGTCGGCTAAAGAAGTATTAACTTTTTAGTAGTTAATGATTTAAAAGGCATCTTTCCGAATTTATTTGTAGCTTTAAGAATATTTTTGACGATGCCAGTTACTGTTGCCCATGGAGAGCGGTCATTTTCGAAATTAAAACTAATTAAGACCTATTTAAGATCCAATATGAGTAAATTCAGGCTTTTAGCAATAATAAGTATTGAAGAAGATATTTCTAACAACTTGGATGTAGGTGACTTGATTAGGGAATTTGCTATTAAAAAAGCGAGAAAAGTAGATTTTAGTTTTTTAGTTTAGTTTAATTATTTTTGTTTTTTTTCCTGAATGTATTTTTATTTTATTCTTTTATGTATTTGTTAATAAATACTTTGTTATTTTACTATACAATTTGTTATATGTTTATTGAGAATGATAAATTATGAACTCCTTCCCTACCGACAACCTAATTTTTTACATTAATAGGGGCGGCAAATTTAATTCTTGCACTCGGGCGGCAGATACCCTGCACACAGGGTGTTTCTAAAATGGAGAGCCTAATAGAGAATGTAGATCTTATCGAGGCCAAAACTTTTTTAAATACATATTTTTTATTTGAACTTTTGTTTTTACACAAAAAATCTACGTTATTAATAAAAAAAAATAGTATAAAGTGTAAATTAGTTAAGGATAAGGGATTATTTATTATAACTAGAGGAAAGTCGACTATTATGGGGTATATTCTTAATATGGGGTAGGCATGAATCTTTGCTCCCAAACTAGATACATCTATGTTTTATTGGACAAAGCACAACTACTAGGCTTGTATGGATAATCCTGGACCTGGGAGTATCTTGAAAAAAAGATACTTAAAGTATCTAAGATACTTTATCTTAGATACTTTTTATATTGGACAGAAAGTTACTTTGGAAAAGTATCTTGTAACTTGTATCTAAAAAAGTATTTAAGTAACTAAGATATATTCAAGTAACTTAGATACTTTAAAGTAACTAAGATACTTTTTAAAGTAACTTAGATACTTTTCAGTGTAACTTAGATATTTTCTTAGAGAAAATTGGGGGAATTTCAGAATGATTCAAAGTAATTAACTAACCTACAACTTGTTGAATTTTCATAATTTTATAGTTTTTATTCATACTTAAAAGTAACTTAGTTACTTAAAAGTATCTTAATTACTTAAAAGTATCTTAGTTACTCAAAAGTATCTTAGATACTTTCATATAGTATCTTAGATACTTTCATATAGTATCTTAGATACCTTCGGATAGTATCTTAGATACTTTTTAAAGTATCTTGTAACTAAACATACTTTTAACTCAAAGTATCTAATAACCAGAGGTAACTAAGTTATTTTGTTTAAAGTATCTTAGAAAAGTAACTAGATACTTTCCAGAAGTAACTTTCCCATAATAAATTTATACGAGGTGTGTTCAGAAAATAACGAGAATTTTAAATTTCGCGGTTTCGGAGGGTCCGGTTGTCATAAAATTGTCTTTATTAAATATTCCATTGTTTACTATTTACCGAACGCGTCCTAAAATGACATTAGTTTTTTATTATACTATTAATTTGTTTAGTTGTTTTAAAAAGAATCTAAGACAAGGTTTTAATGTGAATCTGGATATCATATTCAGTTTTTTAGAACTTATTTATAACTATGTTTTTCTACTCCCACCTTTAAAATGCCCCTTTATCATACATATTTTCATGACACTAAGTGACCTTTTAAATACACATTGACAAGTTGTGGCTTTATAGCGCTTTAATCACGGGCTGAAATTAGCAACAGGTTTTTATTCACGGGCTAAAGTTAGTTTTAAGTTAGTTGACAGTTGTCAAATGTCATAAAATCGTTAAAATAAATTGCCTTTCTTGTAAAATAATACTAAATGAAAATTATTTTATTATCTCAATACAAAAGTATTAAATAGTTTCTCAACGCCAATATTTGAAAGGTTTATAGGTATGAACATTGTACTGACCTTTTAATTTCGCCGGCAGTAAACTA